GGTGATGGGGGGGGGGAGCACAACACATTCTCAAGCCTGCAGACATCCATTATATGGAGCTGAACAAACAAAAGTAGAAAAAGTATCCTTCCCCCCAGACAAACTTTGCTCAAGCTTTCCAATAATTAAAAAAAAACAAACAAAAAGTGAAAAGGCTTCTAAACGTACACAATGACATACATCTTGTGCCCTAGTTTTCTTCCATTTAACTCTTCAACAGCATGTAATGGCACAGGACTCCTCCATGTGCCCAGGCATTTCACCACACAATTCACAACAGGGTTAATGGGAAAGTAACCTAGCATGGTCCAAGAAATTTAACATCTATATTACAACTGGCCATACAAGTATGTGGCGACAACATTCAGACTTGTAAGAGAGGAGCACTAACTTGCTTTAATCAAGATTCCATGCATTTTACTAATGTTTTCAAATATATTACAGTGTGAAAATGTCTTACCTTCACAGCATACTCTTTGTTGGTGATGAGGTTAATGCATGTTTGGACTCTGGCATAAGCACCCTCTCCTAGTACCTCTTCTTGCAGTCTGTAGACATCTGTGAATATAAATTTAATAGGTTAGGAAAGTACTAATCCAATCATATTAAGGAGATTAATGTCTTATGATCTTAACAGCAACATAATGATACCACAAATAAAAGCCTTTACCCTCAAATCGTCCAGAAAAACTGTCAGTTGCCCTGCAACGCTTTTTCTTCTTGTTTCTCTTCTTGGCATCGGGGATATCAATAGGCTGGCTGGAGGGCATGTCTATCAAAACATGTGCCTTTATTATCATGTGCTAGTGAAGGAACAACCAAAACAAAGTCAAAGAAAGTGCTAAAAATCAACAACCTTTAAGGACAATCACACTTTTGAGTGTAAACACTAAACCTATGCCAAAAGCCTCAATAAATTAAGTAGGTCAGTGCTGGTGCAACTAAAGGATTATAGATTTAATTCAGTTAAGCAAGCTACAGCTGTGAAACAGTTAATACTCACCATGTCTTGGGGGGGAATCAAAATTAAATGACGAATCAATAAGATGGGATCCATTTTTGGTGAAATCGTCTGATTCAAAAGGATTTTGGCCCTATGGGTGATGATAAATATGCTTGTTAAGGTATGCAATTGTATCAATGTAACATTCATCATAACTGATAAGAGCCTATATCTCCTAGCTTGCAACCATAAGCTGAAAGACTGAACAGTGAAACTCATGAAAATAACCTTTCAAAACAACCATGAATATCTGATTCTCTGGCAACACAAGTCATCCAGAGACTCAGTCTAACAAGTAAATCCTAATAAAATACATGCATAGAGGTGAATGCACAAACCCAACATTTTAGCAGCAGTTATTTTACAGCAGTTACTCAAGTCTGTTGCCCATACACGTGTCAGAAGGGCACATAGTGCGTTTGTCATCCATAACAGTGTGGGAGAGCAACAGATGTGTTTATATATAGCAAGGTTAAGTCCTGACAAATGTGCTCCCATTATAGAGCCTTCCCAAAAGGTCTGATGGTGGCTGTGCGTGTTCTCCAAAAAATCACCTTGAAAGAGCGGTGGAATCCAGTGACTTCCGTGATCTTTTTTTGCACCATTTTGCTTCGATTTGGGGTAGTTTTCGGCGGATGTGCGGCGGCAGCAGTGGTTTTGGGGATATCAATCTACACCTCTCCAAAACAAAGTCGTTTCAGAGAGAGTCGCCAGTGATTACACGGCGCTGGCTCGTCAGCTTGCTGCGGCGCTTTCGACGGTAGCCCTGTGAAAACACACAACACAGCGTTACAACCAACATTACCACAACAAATTAAGGGAATAATGTGCGCACATGGGAAAATGATAATACATGCGAACTCAGAGTTTAGTTAGTTAATTCGAAGAATAAAGCAAATAACCTAATAGCTAAATAACAGTTAATTAGCTAATTAGCTAGCTGTTTGTCACCTGATCACGGGTTAGAACAAACCGATTCTAACAGGTACGCCGCCAGAACACCATATTGAATTTAACGTCAGTTAATCGTTAAATCTCAAACAGGTAATTTAAATAAGCCAAGGTCAGAAAATACTTCATATAGAAAAGGCAATTGCAATACTAGATTTTGGGTACGATAAGCAAATATGTCAGAAAGCAACACCGTATATATCTAATTAAACACTGAAGACTACAACGTCTGCAGGGAGGCTAGCATTCGATTAGCCAACATCGATAAGCAGAAAGTCATAACGGTCAACTCGCGTTCCCGGCTTGCGTTCGGTGCTCGCTCAAGAACTGGGCTTCCGAGTTGAGCGTTATGCCTTTAACATCAAAGAAGAACGGTCAGATACTGTGACATTACTGTAAGTGTTGCAAAAAAAGTTCCATATCCCCTTTTGAATTCGGTTAAAAAAAGAAAAGATGTCCAACTGCTTCCTCTACTCACCCCGCTGTTAAATTTACAGCTCCAGTGTTAGCGTCGCCGTTTGACCCACTGCGTCAACAGCCGCGGAGGAAAGTCGAGGGGGAATCGACTCCTGATTGTAAGTGCGTGGAAAGTGACGAAAAATGAACAGTGTAGGTGCTTTTATAACCTCCCGACGGTCCTCCTCCTTGTCTCCTCCCTCCTCAGGACTGCGTCAACAGACAGGATAGATCATGTGCTTTCTAGAAAAAGCCATGATGGCAAGGTACAATTTCGTTTAGCTGTATATTTACCGCTTCTGAATAAACAGCGGTTAAACATGGCACGAAAAACACAAAGTAGGGAATGACTTAATGTGCGCTGTAATTTATGTGATTAAAATATCGTCCTGAATGAAATTCTGAATTTCTGAACATTTTAAAGAAAGTTCCACAAAACAAAATCGGTACTGGACGAAATGGTACTCGGCAGGGAGCTCTGTTTTGTTTCAGAGGCCCCATGATGGTGAATACGTGCACATTTGCACAATCAGCGCTCACGGCTGTTCTGATGAAAGACGTGAGTATCGCACTGGAGATGCAGAGAGATGGGACTGATGCAACATATAGACATAGCAGTTCGACCAGTTTAATCTACGATGGTGTTCAAAATGACAGAATGCAGCTGTCAGTGCAGTCACTGCAACCAAATTTATAATTAGGATCCATGGACAACACTTCGTCAGCAAAGTGCAAACAGACACTCGCCATCGCTGTCCCTCTTTGTGTGTCTCAGAAATGGAAAAATTTACATTTATAATGCCCTAAACTCACACCCAGTGATGAATGGCCCTTGCCAGATGGGTGTTCAATGAAATCCCGCAGCTTCTGGCTGAAAGGGGTAGTGACATGACCTCAGCTGGTGTGGCATTTCAGTTGCATATACACAAACACAGCCAGGCAAACTCACTGACATGTAATATGAGATACTCTATCTAACAACAGTCCTGTGCTTAAAATTGTATTTAAATACAAGTAGGCTATGAGCATCAGTATATATTTACAGTATGCTACACTATATGCAGTATATATAGCATAAAGTAGAAATGGAAAAATACAAACACAAATAAATATAACTACCTTAAATCTGTACCTAAATATACCACTAAATATACTTTATTACTTGCCACAAGTGAATAGTAGGCCCGGCCGGGCTTAGCCCGAACGAGCGACGTGGGGACGTCCTCCCGTGGGCCCACCGCCTGCAGGAGGATCCGTAAGGGGCCTGTGCACAATGGATTGGGCAGCAGTTGAAGGCAGGGGCCCCGACGACCCGATCTCTGGACACGGAGACTAGCCCTGGGGACATGGAATGTCACCTCTTTGGTGGTGAAGGAGCCCAAGCTTGTGCAGGAGGTTGAGAGGTACCGGCTAGATATAGTCGGGCTCACCTCCACGCACAGCTTGGGCTCTGGAACCTTACTCCTCGAGAGAGGCTGGACTCTGTACTACTCTGGAGTTGCCCACGATGAGAGGCGGCGGGCTGGTGTGGGCTTGCTCATAGCTCCCCAGCTTAGCCGCCATGTGTTGGAGTTTACCCCGGTGAACAAGAGGGTCGCTTCCCTGCGCCTTCGGGTCGGGGATAGGTCTCTCACTGCCATTTGTGCCTACGGGCCGAATGGCAGTGTAGAGTACCCGGCCTTCGGGGAGTCCCTGGGAGGGGTGCTGGAAGGAGGCCCCGACTGGGGACTCCGTTGTTTTACTAGGGGACTTCAACGCCCACGTGGGCAGCGACAGTGACACCTGGAGGGGTGTGATTGGGAGGAACGGCCCCCCCGATCTGAACCCGAGTGG